TCCATATTGTAAACACAAAGTCATTAATATCAACATTTCTTAAATAAGATTTTAAACGGTCCCAATCAGTCCAATGACGCCAGTGTTTTTCCTCGTTGTAGGTTACACTATTTATGGGTGTTCTTGAGTCATGACAGAACATTTCAGGGTCAAAAACAGCCAAAAACATTTTTGGAAATTGTCCTTCGTGTCGTTGTAATTTCTCGCTTGAAGTGAATCACTAATGAATTTCAATGAATTTTCAACAAACTGGCGCATGCGCACGCCAAACGGCCCCTTGTTGCGCATGATAGTTATATGATATGTCTACTCACTGTCATCATTTACAATTGTCACATTCTGATATCGCGCGAAGTCAACACGCGAGTCACCCACGGCACAGCGTAATCGGAAATTCTCGTCGTTTTCAACAACTCTGTCRTCATGTATTTGTACACTGATGTACTTTGACGTCTCTCCTGGGCGAAAGTACAAGTAGATTGGCGAGTTATGCTTGTGGTAGTCATGGGGATGCTTTGCACTGCCGTCGTGGGTCTCACACCTTTAAACAATCACGACAAAGTTGGTTATTAGAGCAACGTAGACCTAACGTATGGTTTCTAAACTTTGCAGACCGCCTCGACATAGAAAGAGAAGAAAGGACAAGCACTCAAAAAGCGTCAAAAGCATCAATGAAACCTTTTCTACCTATGGCAGACTTAAATACGACCGCGTCGACAAAACGGTCGTCGAAGGAAAGCCAGAAAACKTTTGAAAACAAATTGATAAACCTTCTCGTGTCCTTAACTTCGCATCCAACCTTGAAAACAATGTCATCCATGTGTGTGGTATTACAGACGAGAAGTCAAACAAAACAATAAYTAGTTTTTAGTATGGCTCATTGGGAAGATTAACATACTTACATCATGATAGTTGAGAGAATATCTGTAGATCCATTTCGATGTATTCCTACACGTGCAGTTTTATTTGCTTCTCTTACGAAGACTCCATCGTAAWGAAATTGCACTACAGTTGAATGAAAAAATGAAGACATTTTGATGTTGTTGTYACCTTTATAAAGCTGCAGGAAAAACTATAAATAGCTTTGATATATATAACGAGACTTTTACTGAATAAAGAGCAGAAATGAAAATCGATACCTATAGACCTTGTTACTTTTATAAACACCATTTTTTTTAATTATGACGAAGAAATTATGACATGTCCAAGACCAGGAAAAGCAAATATTGCTGCATAGAATGGGAAATTTCTTTCTCTGGTGATTAAATTGAATATTTTAATGTTTCAGAACATYCAATCGCTAACCTTTTAAATGTTTTCATATTTCTAAATAATTAATTYTTTTGTTAAATAAAATAGTCTCGTTCTCAGTGAATTTAATAGCGTTTTCAAAGCTGTTCATGTTTATTGCCCCTGAGTGTTCCATACTTTCCTATTGAATAGATCCTGAATGCAATGGCAAATTCAATAAGTCGTAATATGTTCTTTTTATGTTTACAATTCCTTTTATTGACTTTTATAGTAATTTTTAAATTAGATCTTACCTGATGGACAGCCATAAACCGCCACTCTCATAGACACACGTTTGTGCCATGACAATGGTATGAAGCGAATGTATTGTGCGTAGAAGGGTGCASGCAGTTTATGGTCTACTACGGTAAATCGGTCAGAGTTTCCTTGGATAATCTTGCAGGCAAAATAAGAACATATTGAGATACCAAGAGAAATAACGAAAGATGAACAATATAATAATAATATATTACAATCATCTTTTCAATTATTCCACAATCCATCAGTGAATCATCAAATTTATTYATTTGTTTGTTTMATTGATTCATTCCCATTCCCAGTTATTTGTTTAAGTTTAAAATCCGTACGTATTTCTCCACTTCCCCTTTCATTAAATGGTACATCTATAATCTAATCCAAGMAATGAATACTATTCACTGCCTACCATTGTAATGTTTCCAKTCTTGTACGCTAAAAACACCTTTCCATCAATGCTGTATTCTAATGTGTAGTTTTTCACCCAATGGTCCATATCTGCTCGTCCTTGCGTAGCTACTCTTGTGATTTTAGAGAACCGCCCCAGTGCTACTTGAAGCCATGGGCTACTGTCGTTTAAGCCCGCAGACCAAGCACCAGCTCTTCCAACGACAATTGGGTAAAAATACAACATTGCGTTTGCAAAACTGTGATTAGAATCCTGTTTGCTGGACGCTGAAAACTGTGACTCTTTGACAGAGATTAGAGACTCACACTTGGGATTAAAGGAAATGAGCTCTAAACCTGAAACAAATCACCGAGTTTGGAATCGAGTTAGAGGCGAGTTGGAGCCCGAGTTATAAAATCCGAACAAGATAGCATTTATCAGTAGTTATCAAATTTATTAAAATTCATAAGGTAAACACAATAGAAAATCCTGATTAATCTTTATACGAGAGATAGATTTCTCCTGATTTGCACACGACTTCTTCATGCAGGGCCGTAACCAGAAGATTTTTTGAGGGGGGCACTCCAAGTAAAAACGGAACTAAAACTAATATAAAGACTCTTTATATCATCTTTTTAATATAAATGCAG